AGACAAATTATGAAAGAATTTGGTGACTCAGCCCCAATAACCGAAACAAATAATATAATATAATATTAGGTAAAAAAGTAATTTAAAATCAAAATTCACTTGGTTAAAAAGAAAAAGACATTTATGTATCTTATTTATTTAGTTAGTTAAAGTTCTTCAGATGTGATGTTATTTGTTGATATACTGGCCGTGTGCTTAAATTGAATTTCATGATTAACTATTACGCGGTTAGTTGAATTTCAGAATTGGTCATGCCTTGTAAATTTTTGTTTATTTTTCCGCCGAACGCCGCACCTAGATGCTGCCACCTGCCGGTAAAGTCTTCCGACAACGTCCTACTTACTCCGTCATTCAATGTTTTTTAATGTCTTATGTCGGTTCAAGATAACATTTAAATAACAACATGAAAACAAAGTTACCTAATAAGATCTACAGATTTATTTTAGTTAGACTAAACAATATCCATTAATCGTGTAAAATCAATAAAATTGCCAATTCCATAGAAGTATATGCACAAAACAGTATAGCTGTTTTAAACTAACACACCACGTTAATTTTTGACTACTTTTTTTATTGAGTATTTTTCATGATTATAACATGACTTTATTGAGTTTAGTTTTATTTCAGCTAGCTTAAGTACCAAAATTTGTTTACAAATAGGATATTTAACTGGCGCACTCATTTCACTCTTCTGACTTTCTGTCTGGAAAACTAGATTCTTTAAAAGGTTTCTAACTAAAATCAAGAACTAGTCCCTGTTTTAACTGTGTCATAATTAGAATATTATGAAATAATATTCTTAATGAATCAAATTCGTATATGAAATAATATTTAATTTATTTAAATTTAAAGGTAATAGTAATTTTAAAAGTAATAAAAGTCTGTACTAGTTTAGAATGAAAAAATAAAGAAAAATCTTACTTTAAAAAAGTGAGTATCCAAAATTTATAATATATGAATAAATTTAAATTAAAGTATTATTAAATAATTATTTTTCTTAAAAGTTGCTTTAAAGTTAAAACTTAAAATAATATATAATTGAGAATACCACCGTCCAATAACCCAACTTTATATGAACATAAATGGTCGTTGGGTTTCGTATTTATTGTCCTTAATCCAAATCAAGGATAATTAATGATTACAAAAAGTTATAACCCTACACTATATTGCTAAGAGAGATCAAGTTGTAAGTGCACTAATTAATTAATTATTTGAGGCATGTGAAGAACATAAACGGAAAAGTAGTGTTAGTATTTCTTGCTCAAATTTCATTTCATTTGACATTTGAGGCATCTCAATGGCTTCAAAAGTAAAATTGCATGCTTCTCTATTCACGAGACAGGGTAAACAGAGAAATATAGTTTAAATTTGAAAAGTAAGCTAGCTATCACGTACCACTTTAGATTAAAATCACGTATACCTGTAATCAAAGTTGAAGTTGAGGTTTTAATGATTTCATGTGATTTGATTCCTTAGGTGAAGTTTCCAGAATATGGTATGGCATAGAATGCGGAAGCAAGAGAGGCTCACAACCTTAGATAGTGATAAGAAAGGTTATATCGATTTTTAGAGAAAGTAGAAAGGTTTCATGAGTTGTTATAGTTTTGATTTTAAGATGAGTAGTATGGACAACTTAATATTATTTATGGGAGATTTTGGAAGGATTAGCTGGTTATAAATTATCACGAAATGTTTTTCTACCCTAAATCCATATATAATAATATTAAATGGTTAACTGGAGTGAAATTTAGAATCATTTTAAGAACTCCAATCCAAATAATTTTTAAACTTCATATTCACCCAAATTAAGAGCTTATGAGTTTTTTTTCCTGAAATAAGAATTTAAAAGAGTGGTCAAAATTAGTCTTGTCAAAATGGGTTGAAACGCGTGAACCAACACAGTTCACCACGAGTTTGAGCCGGGTTGGGTTTGAAAAAAATACAAAAATTTTTATGCGAGCTAATTTTGACTCGGCTCACACGGGTTGAACCCGTGGTGGGTCGGATTGGCTCATCAACCCACTTATTTTTTTAATTAAATCAAATGAATTAAATTAATTATTTAAATCCTATTTTTTTATTGAAATCAAGTTAATTAAATTAATTATTCAAACCGCACAACCTTTAGAGCCTTTCGCGTTGTTGTCTTTCCAAAAGTTCCCCTCTACAAATAAAATCCTAAGATTATAGATTGGATAATATTATATAGAGCTGTCAAAACGGGTCACTTGGCCCGACCCGGTCCAGTCCACCACGGGTTGATCACCTAGTGAGCAAACCCAACCCGACTCATTTATTAGTGAGCCAGAAAAATTCGAATTCGGCCCGACCCACGACGGGTTGGTGGGTAAATGGGTTGGCTCACTTAATTACAATTTTTTTTAAATAAAAAAAATTACAAACTTTCTATAATTCAAATCTAAACAAATTTCACTCCCAAATTTCACTCTCAACATGAGTGTTTAATTAATTTTGAAAATAAGGAACTTAAATAATTTTTTCAAGCAAAAACAAAATAATAAATATTTTTTTATAAAATTAAAATTAAATTTTAATAAAATAAAATTAGGTAGGTGGGTTGGTAGGCCAACCCGGTCCACCACGGGTTCAACCCGCATGAGCCGAGTTTAAATGAGCCCGGTTTAAATCTGACCCGCATAAAAAAATATAATTTTTTCAAACCCAACTCGGCTCAAACCCGTGGTAGGCCGGGTTGACCAGCGGGTTGTGACCCATTTTGACAGCACTAATATTATAGATGGAGATAAAGAAGAAGATGCTTCAAGAGAGCATAATAATATGGAATTATCCATTCAGGACTCTAATTTAATAGATGGATAATATTATAGATTGGATAATTCAGGAATATATCATTTGTTTTATCTTTTTTTAAACATATTTACAAGCATGACAGTTTTATCTTGTGCTATATATTTTTGTTAACGACTATATGTAGTTTCTTGGTCAAACGGTTGTGTATGTCTCATTAAATTAAATTGGCAAAATTTTATACTTGATAGCTTAGAATATATATAACAACATATTTCTTTTGTTTCATTTTCTTTTATATCAATTGGTCCAATTATTATTGTTTCAATTTGATCGATCAAAATAACATGTTATAAAAATTTCAGAAGAAGAGGGTGAAAAAAAACTTAATTAAGTGAGCAAATGAGCCAACCCGCTTAACCTACCAACCCGTGGTGGGTCAGATAGGGTTCGAATTTTTTTTGGCTCGCTAATAAATGAGTCGGGTTGGCTTACTAAGTGGCCAACCCGTGGTGGGTCGGGTCGGGACGGGTTACCCGCTTTGACAGCTCTAGTCAAAATTGAGAGTATGCTCATATCATAGGTAATAGATAAAATTGAGAGTATGTTCAAATGAACTCCAAATGACTTGAAAATTTGGATGAAGGTTCAAAAAATCATGAAAACTCTTCACAAAAATTTTTAGCACAAAACTCAAAGTCTAACTATTTTAAATATTTATGCAAAGTTTGAAAAAAAAACAAAAATAAATTTCTGAAAAATAGAAAATAGCATTTTCTGGGAGATCTGAAAGGATTAACTGACTACGCGAGCTACCACGGTATCAAAAATGTTTTTCTACCCGAAATCCATATATAATATTAGAAAAATGGCTAACCGGGACATTTTAAGATCTGTAATCCAAATAATTTTTAAATTTCAGATTCACTCAAATTAAGGGCTCTTCAGATTTTTTTCTTGAAATAGGAGTTTTAAAGAGTGGCAAAAAAATATTCGCTAAGATAATAATCATATTCATGAAAATCAAAAATCACATTAAATAGTTTTTCTTATGTGTTACAGGATTGTTTTTATGTTTCTGGAATGATTTTTATGATATTTGGAATGTTTAGAAAAATGTCCAATTTTTTATAAAAAGACATACTTTAAAGAACGATTCTAACGAAAACCATAAACCTTTTAATTAATTAATTCTAATAGATCCAATTTTTTTTATTGCGTCGTATTTTTTACTTTAATTTTTAAATCGATGCCAAAACTCTACCAAAACTTCATACTTTTAATATATATCGGTTCTAACCATTGTCATAAACCCAAAGCACTAGTTGAGATTCTTGTTTCGTTATATTAAGTTAAATTATTTTCTCTTTGCGCCAAATTGTTACATTTCTATTGAATTACTGTAGCTCCTGTTATTTGTGAAGTATTTTACTACATCATTACCTACTCTAACAAATAATAATATACAATAAAACAACAAAAGTTACCCTTACTTTTGCACAACAGAAGTTAAAAGTAAGATCATATATAATATTGTGAAGTAAAGATATATATTTCAAATAAATAAATATATATATATATATATATGTATAAGTAAATAATTTTATAAAATTTATTTTTATTATTAAATATTGTTAGAAAATTGCCCGTGACTAGTTAATATTAATATAAATAGGTAAATTTCTACCATGGATAAAATTTATAGACCGAGTAAATTGGACAGGAAGAGGAAGAATAATGTCAAAAGGGAAAAAAGGTAATCAACTTCCTATATTTTTACTTTTTGAGAGAATAGGTAATATAATCATAGTATAAGACGTTTGTTACTTATTTAATCTATTATGAATTTAAATATTAAAATTTTAAATTTAAATAGAAATTGGCTCAAACTATACATGTCTCTTACTGATTTAACTGTATTTTTTTGCATATGCTTTTTGAAAGAAGTATATATATGAAAAATATTTCTAATAAGTATTAGGTACGTACTGAAGGTAGTATTATTGATTTATAATATAAGTTATACAATAATATAACAGGAGAACGTCATAGCCTATATCCTCTGAACCTCTCGTGAGGTAAGGAAATACGAGGAAGCAATGAGGTGACAAAACTTGTCATCTATGTCAGATAAAGAATGTCAAAGATAGAAAGCATGGAACCACCACCTTTTCGAACTTATATGTAGACGTTGCAGCCAAATTAGGAAATTCTGTTTTCATCTTCACTGTTTCCTCGTCAATTCTTGCAGTTGTTTGAACGAGGACTCAGAAGAAATGGGAGCAAACAAAAGTGTCCACGTTGGAAGATGTTCGATTTTCTTCAAACTTCCAGTTCTCTTATTTGTCATTTTCTTTTAGTATCTATTTGGTTAACATTGCATATCATTAAATATTAATGTACCAAGTATGCATTTTGTTCATGGCAGCAAAGCTAGACGTTGGAGTTGATTTCACAAGAAGACTGTGTAGTTCTGACATGCAGAGGTTTTTGTCGATTCTATAATGTTTTGACAGCAAGAATATACTTACTAGTTTTTTTTATGTTTTTCTTTTTATCAGATCATATATTATGTTATTTTTTTTTCTAAGTGTATATTACGTGTTGATGAACATTTTTGTGTATATATATGATATTTCTATCTTGTGATGGTGTTTTCATGAACAGGCTGTCAAGATGTCTGTTTTCTATGGCTACTGGCAGGTACAAGTTTGGTTTGATTTCTAAATTTGTACTCGCAGTGACATCAAATTGGGTATATGTTTGTGTAGATATAACCAAAATTTCTTTGATGGCAGCCTTCGCTTGAAGCAGCCTGGCCTAATTTATTACAGTGATTTGCTAGATATGTCGTGGCACAAAGGGCTGCATGATTCAGACCTATTGGTCACGTATAGGTACCATAGACCTCGACATATTGGTCCTCCCTCCCTCACCATTAAGGTTTGTACTTGTTGATTATTTTTTCATAATTAACTAATCTTTCTATAAATTTTAGTAGCACAAAGTAAGAAAGTGTCTATTTTACTTTGTAAAATGTTTTTTTTTGTTTTTTGTAACATAATATTTTCTTAGAGATGTATATTGTCGATTAAGCTTTTTTCATCATATGTTTGTGAGATACTTGCTAACCTTGAGGTGGTTTTTCTTTTCACCGTAACACAATGGCAATGTTTTTTCTTTATAGCATTCAGTTTCACCCGAGCTAAGAATCCATGGAATTCCCATGAACAGTTTTCGCCATTCCCAAAGTCAAGGTGTAAGATTGTCCGAGTTGTCGATTGGGTTTGATTATGTCGAGCCTTCTTTTTGTTTTCT